ATTTTATATAAATGGGTGTTTGCCTACATGTCTGGTCACTGTGTATATGCCTGAAAAATACATTAGATACCCCTGGAAATTGAGTTATAAATTGTTGTGGGTGTTGCAGACTTAATACATGTCTTATGCAAGAACAGCCAGCACTTTGACCATGGAACTATCTCTACAGCCTAAAAATACATTTCAATATTCCTAAAAGAATAACACTGAAAGAGTCTTTGACAGTTATTCACTATTGTTAAACCCAAAACAAAAATTAGTATTTTCTAGAATTCCTACCATAACAAAAGCAAGAATTCCAAAGATGTTTTTTAATTGTTTTTAAATTAATTACATTTTATTTACTTTGTATTCCAGCTGTAGTTGCCTTCCTCATTAGCTCCCAATGGCACCCTCCTTCCCTCATCTCCTCCCATGACCCTCTCTAAGTCCACTGATAAGGGAGGACCTGCTTCCCTTCCATCCGATCTTAGCCTATCAGATCCCATCAGATCTGGCTCCAAAGATGTTTTAATTTAAGTTTCCATTGAGGATCTTCTGGGGAAAAGACAAGAATCCTGAAACCGTTGTTACATTCCTGAAAAGCAGTCAGTACTTTAATATTTAAATTGTGTATACACATCCATGGTTAACAGAGTAGGTGAGTTTTGACTTAGAGAAAATGTAAGCAGCACACATTTTAAAGAAAAGTGATTAAACATACACAAGGAGAGACAGAGAGTTCACCTGAAGGATAAAATTATTACCCATAATTTTGAACGCAGTATTATTTAAAATGCAGTTTTAAACAATATTCAAATGTTTAAAAATGGAGAAAGTAAATTTAAAAAGCCTTAATATACTCTGAGCTTTATAAATTGTTTAAGGGCTTTCTGTGTAAATTTCCTTTACATCTTCATAATACACTTTTGAAACATAAAAATATTTGGGAGAGGATTACAATGTTAACAGACGACAAAAAAATGACCGGGTCTTACTAATTTCTTTTTAAAATCAATGCTGTCTATTAAATGTACACATATTAGTGTTAATAAAGTGATGTAACAATTTCACAATAATTTTAATGAATCATATTTTTAGACGTTGTGGTTTTATTGCTTAAATGTTTCATGAGAATGCACATACTCATCTTTTAAGAAATTGCTTTCTCAAGCACACAACATTCCACCCTTAACTATTATTGTTATAAATTATCCTAGAATGTAAAAATTGTATTTTTGTATATTATACTGTGCTTTTTTACACTAATAATAAACTAAGTTTCGAGGAGGATTCAGATTATTCAGCCTTTGCAATGACCACGAAGATGTTTGGTATAATATCAAAATATTTTCCTTAGAAAACTGGTAAATCTTTTTTTAATTTTTTTATTTAACTTTTATTAATTACAATTTATTCATTTTGTATCCCCCCATAAGCCCCTCCCTCCTCTCCTCCTGATCCCACCCTCCCTCCCCTTTCTGCATGCATGCCCCTCCCCAAGTCCACTGATAGGGGAGGTCCTTCTCTCCTTCTTTCTGATCTTAGTCTATCAGTTCTCATCAGAAGCGGCTGCATTGTCATCTTCTGTGGCCTGGTAAGGCTGTTCCCCCCTCAGGGGGAGGTGATCAAAGAGCAGGCCAATCAGATTATGTCAGAGGCAGTCCCTCTTCCCATTATTATGTAACCCACTTGGACACTGAACTGCCATGGGCTACATCTGTGCAGGGATTCTAGGTTATCTCCATGAATAGTCCTTGGTTGGAGTCTGAGTCTCTGGGAAGTTCCCTGTGTTCAAATTTTCTTGTTCTGTTGCTTTCCTTGTGGAGTTCCTGTCCTCTCCAGCTCTTACTATTTCCCACTTTTTACAAAACTGGTAAATCTTTGCTGTAGAAAATAGGTTTATTTTCAAGTTAAAAGATTGCTGTCTAACAGACACCTTTCCAGTAGCAAATGTCTTACCTGGCTTCTCTCTTTCACTACTTAGTTCATACTTCTGCGTACTTGGAAAATGGGAGGGTAAACTAATACAAGATGGTGGAATGGCTTTCCATGGTCAATTTCTCCACTTCTCCACCTTTGGTATTTCGAAGGATACCATAGGTATGATTCACAATTTGAAAAGAGTACCCAGGGAATTGGTAAAGAAGTTTTTCAAATATTGTCCCCCATGTGATCTGAGTATTGTCAATATTACCTGTCAATATGGACACTGTTATATTTTGATTTAAATAATTAGGTTTCACTGGCTGTTTAACTTCGATTAATGAAAGGCTAGCGAAGGCCCAGTTTGTTTACATGTGTATGTAGCATGTTGTCGTATGTCATCTGAAATCAGTTATCAATAAATAAATGACACAAATTGAAGAGAAATAAATAGATACATGATGATAGATGACAGATGGTAGATAGCTAGCTAACTAGATAGACAGATAGATAGATAGATAGAAAAGGTAGATAAATGATAGGCATTTAGTAAATGAAAACATAGTTTATGATAAAAAAAACACTAGTATACATTCTAGTGATTTATTACTATTTATTGATATTATTTAAAATAAATACTTTGTAATTATATGTTTAAATTGTATGTAATGTTCAAGTTTAAATCTGAATTGTCCTCCTGTTTGACTAATCCATTTCCATATTCATCTGCATTGACATTTTTGCTAATGAGCTTAGTAGTCTGAATAAGTTTCCTGATATGTTTTAATTTATGGTGAGTATGAACGTAATTTTCACATCCCCATTATTATGTGTCCAAGTATCTGATACAGTATCCTATAGGTTCTCTCATAGTAGTTATCACAACATTTTCTTCATAGGAGTAAGATTAGAATTTAATGTTAGTTCTTTATATATACTGGATATGAGTCCTCTGTCAGATAAAGGGTTGCTGATGATTCTTTCCCAATCTGTAGGCAGTCGCTTTGTTTAGATGACGGTGTCTTTTGCTTTACAGAAGCTTTTCAATTTCATGAGGTCCCATTTATTGATTGCTGCTCTTAGAGCCTGTGCTGTTGGTGTTCTGTTCAGGAAGTTTTCTCCTGTACCAATGAGTTCTAGGGTATTCCCCACTTTTTTCTAGCCGATTTAATGTGTCTGGTTTTATGTTGAGGTCTTTGATCCACTTGGACTTCAGTTTTGTGCAGGGTGATAAGTATGGATCTATTTTCATTTTTCTACATGTAGACATCCAGTTGGCCAAGCACCATCTGTTGAAGATGCTACCTTTTTTCCATTGTATGGTTTTGGCATCTTTGTCAAAAATCAGGTGTCCATAAGTGTGTGGGTTTATTTCTGGGTCTTCTTTTCGGTTCCATTGATCCACCATTCTGTTTCTATGCCAATACCATGCAGTTCTTAAAACTGTTGCTCTATAGTACAGCTTGCGATCAGGGATGGAGATACCTCCAGAAGATCTTTTATTGTAGAGGATAGTTTTAGCAATTCTCAGTTTCTTGTTATTCCATACAAGTTGAGAATTTTTCTATACAATGGAGTATTACTCAGCAATGAAAAATAAGGAAATCATGAAATTTGCAGGTAAATGGTGGGACCTGGAAAGGATCATCCTGAGTGAGTTGTCCAAGAAGCAAAAAGACACACATAGTATATACTCACTCATATAAACATACAACATAGAATAAACCCACTAAAATCTGTACATCTAAACAAACTAAGAAAAGAGAGGACCTTCACTAAAATGTTCAATCCCCATCCTGAAAGGCAAAGAGGATGGACATCAGAAGAAAAAGAAAACAGGAAACAACCTAGGAACCTCCTACAGAGGGCCTCTGAAAGCCAGAAGAAAACAGGAAACAACCTCGGAACCTGCCCCAGAGGGCCTCTAAAAGCCTCTGCAGTGCAGACTGTCAAAGCAGATGCTGAACCTGATGGCCAACTTATGGGCAGAGTGAATGGAATTTTATGTAAGAAGTGGGAAATATTAAGAGCTGGAGAGGACAGAAACTCCACAAGGAGAGCAACAGAACAAGATAATTTGAACACAGGGAACTTCCCAGAGACTCATACTTTAACTAAGGACTATCTGTGGAGATAACCTAGAACCCTGACAACGCAGCCACTTCTGATGAGATCTGATAGACTAAGATCAGAAAGAAGGAGAGGAGGACCTCCTCTATCAGTAGACTTGGGGAGGGGCGTGCATGCAGAAAGATGGGGAGGGTGGGACCGGGAGGGGAGGAGGGAGGGGCTTATGGGGGAATACAAAATGAATAAAGTGTAATTAATAATAATAAAAAAAGGAAAAAAAGAATTTAATGTTAGCCTGAAGATACCTGATAAAACAGGGTCAGATGAAAGGGGAGGAGGGCCTCCCCAATCAGTGGACTTGGAAAGTGGCAGAGAGGAGATGAAGGAGGAAGGGTGGGATTGGGAGGGAATGAGGGAGCAGGATACAGAGTTAATAAAATGTAACTAATAATAAAAATAAAAAATTGAAAAATTAAAAAATGGAAGGAGAAAAAAAGAATTTAATGTTAGGAAGTATTATAAAAGAAACTGCTTTGTAGCTTAAAGGATTATTAATACTATCCGTAGTAATAAAAACAGTAAGACTATAAAACACCCAGTACATTGAAATGCAGTATAATTCATTATCATGTTCATCAAGGTTATGAGTTAATATTTGTAATGTAGTAGAATGACAATTGGCCCTACATTCAGATTCGGTTTCAACTAAATTAGTGGGAAAATTTTTCCTCACAGGGGAAAACAATCATTTGTAACCTCTCTGCTTGCCCTCATATAGAGCAAATTTCTGAAATATTGTTCATATGAATTTAATCTCATACTTTGCTTCCACAAAAGTTAATCATGGCTCATAAACTTTTACATTAGAGAGTAATACCATTAATAATTGGTGAAGACTTCTCTTTACATTGTTGTGATGTACAGAAGTTAAGTCTCAGTGCAAATGTCAAATTCTCCAAGCTATTTTGTCTTCCATGTCCCTCTGACCATCTTTCTTTTTCTGCAGTTTGTTCCTGAGGACAAAAATGTATGGAGAAAATCAGTCAGTGAATTCAGAATTTGTGCTTTTGGGACTTTCCCATTCACAGAATCTTCAAGTCTTGCTCTTTGTGATATTTGTGATACTTTATCTGCTCATTGTGTTGGGAAATACCCTCATTATGATATTAATAACCATTGACCACCATCTCCACTCACCCATGTACTTCTTATTGGCCAACCTGTCCTTTGTGGATATATGGCTTTCCTCAGTCACCACTCCAAAAATGATCACAAACTTTCTCAGGGACCATAAAACCATTTCCTTTGCAGGCTGCATGTCCCAGGTCTTCTTTGCCCATTGCATCGCTGCAGGAGAGATGGTGCTGTTGCTGGTCATGGCTTATGACCGCTATGTGGCCATCTGCAAGCCACTCCACTACTTCACCATCATGAACCTGAAAAAATGCACTGGGTTGGTGTTGACTTCCTGGACCATTGGTTTTGTTCATGCCTTGAGTCAGCTTGTGGCCGTTCTGCAGCTACCTCTCTGCGGCCAATTAGAAATAGACAGTTTCTTCTGTGACCTGCCTCTGGTAATTAAGCTAGCCTGCAAGGATTCACATTACCTAGATACATTAATGAATGCTGACTGTGGGGTTGTGGTTGTAACCTGCTTTATTCTGTTGCTCATGTCCTATACATATATCATAATCACTGTTCGTCGGAGTGCTAAGGCTGGTGCCTCTAAGGCCCTGTCCACGTGCACTGCCCATATTACAGTGGTGATGCTCCTTTTCTTGCCCTGCATCTTTATCTATGTGTGGCCCCTCAATATCACCTGGTTTGACAAATTCCTTGCTGTGTTTTATTCTGTTGTTACACCTCTCCTAAATCCAGCAATTTATACACTGAGAAATAAAGAAATAAAAAATGCTCTAAAGAGATTAAAAAGCTATTTTATGAATCAAAAGGTCAGTACTTAGTACCCAGAAAATCTACTATAAATATTTAAATTGATATTTTAATGAAATAAAGAGAGATTAAATATTTGTGTATTTAATTTATATGTACAATTAGTTACAGTATTTTTATATGGCTTAATATAATTCTAGAGCTTGACCATTTTAATATTATAGAACACTAAATTATTTCTGAAATTTTCAAAAGTTCCTTATGAGAAAATGATTAAATTGACTCTCAAATATCTTCTGTAATATGGCAAAGAACCTAAATGTATTTGTCAAGCTCCTACCCGTTTTTTTTTGGAAAATTCACTTTGATATTGCTCTAACAACATGAAATTTTTATTCTCTGCATTACAACATTCCACAAACGTTTTACTCACCCTCTGTAGAAAGGCAACATTATTATCTTTACTTTAATTCAGCTGTCTCTAAAAACACTAAGGAGAGAATAAGAAAACTGTAGAAGAACAAAACAAAAGTTATGTATTACACAAGAAATAGTAGTGGACATTATTTGGTATTGATTTTGTTACCTTAATAAAAAATGAAATGGTTGTGTAAACAAACGTAATGTTTTTCTCAATGATATGAATTTCAGTAACTAAAATTGTCCTTTAAATTATTGTTTATTATTTCAATAAATTTGTGTACTATAGTTTCTCCATAAGTGCATTACTTCTATAGTGTTCATAAGGCCTTATTTACTTGGAGTCTTCTATCTTCACTGCCTCTTATAATCTTTATACCTCCTTTTCTACAGAGTTCCCTGAGCCATGAGGGGAGAGAGTAGATAAAAACATCCCAGTTAGGGATGAGTATTATAAGGTCTCTAACTCTATGCACTGTCCAGTCGTGGATCTCGGTTTTGTCCCCATCTGGTGCAGAAAGAAACTTCTCTGATGATGGCTGAGTAAGACAGTGATTTATGAGAAAACATGCCACTAGGGGCATTTTTTAGCTATACTCTCTTAGTAGAACAATAGTATTTAGTTTCCCCTATATTCTTAATCTCTCTAGTCTTAGGTTCTGGGCTACATGAGCAATGTTCAGCACAGGTTTCACTCAATTTAAAAAAAAATGAGATATGAATGTGATAGTGACATACACCAAGAGAAACTGCAGCAGCTATTTTAATATTAGGCAAAATATATTTCAGATAAAAAATACTGCTAAAGAGAAAAAAAGACCATTTCACATAGACAAACTAAGTTAATTAGCTATAATAACACATCAATTTTAATCAGCATGTTCTAAGCTATAAAGTTTTAAATGTGTGAATATTCTGATATAATTCCAAGAATAAGAAAGCACATACAGGAAAAAGTATAATGAGACAGTCAAATCCCTATATAAATAGTTAAAATAATTAGATACAATTTAACAAAGATGAACTGATTTTATAAATATATAGTTACATAAAACTTACACCAAAAATCACACACCTGTTCCCTACAATAAATATAATGTTACATAATGAACTGGGCTAAGAAACAAGCATTATTTTTCTTGAATTTTATTTTTGAAAGGTTCATATATATGTACAATGTATCTTAATTGTATTTATCCATAATACTTCCTCCCACTCCGCTAGGATTTCCTCCAATAGGTGGCCCTTCAAGAGTCAAGATCTCTTTGTAATAACCAGTGAGTTCAATTAGTTCTGCCCATGTGCACATTAGCGTTGTGTTATCTACTGTAGCATGGGAAAGCTGCAAGTTGCCCCCCCTCAAATAGAAAATCTCCCCTCTTCCAATAGCTATCTATTTTAAATGACTGCTCAATTTGAGATGAGGAAATTAGGAGATTCTCTTCTCTTCATGATGGAATTTTTTTAACTTTCATTAATTACACTTTATTCACTTTGTATCTGCCCATAAACTCCTCTCTCCTCCCTCCTAATCCCACCTTCCCTCCCCCTTCTTCACACATGCCCCTCCCCAAGTCCACTGATAGGGGAGGTCCCCATCTCCTTCCTTTTGAACTTAGTCTATCAGATCTCATCAGAAGTGGCTGCATTGTCTTTTTCTGCGGCTTGGTAAGGCTGCTCCCTCCTCCAGGGGAGGTGATCAAAGAGCAGGCCAATCAGTTTATATTAGAGGCAGTCCATCTTCCCATTACTATGGAACCCACTTGGACACTGAACTGTCATGGACTACATCCGTGCAGGGGTTCTAGGTTATCTCCATGCATGGTACTTGGATGGAGTATGAGTTGTCTCTGGAAAGACCCCTGTGTTCAAATTTTCTGTCAGCAAGAGTAGGCTAGAAACTCATAACAGATACAAAACCAACACATTAAGTCCACAAGCTCATATTAAATCAAGAGAGCACAAACATTATGAAAGGCCAAAAGAAAGTGGCAATCTACTTCCTCAGCTAATAGTCCCTTAGAACTCATCTTGAATAAATATTACTTATAAAAATCTCAGGTCACAACTGTGCATGGGTTCTAAGTTATCTCCATGCATGGTACTTGGTTGGAGTATCAGTCTCTGGGAAGTTCCCTGTGTTCAAATTGACTGTTTATGTTGCTCTCCTTGTGGATTTCCTGTCTTCTCCAGATCTTACTATTTCCCACTTCTTACAGTTTTGTGTCCAAGTGGCTTACATAGTATTGGGAAGAGGGACTGCCTCTGACATAATCTGATTGGCCTGCTCTTTGATCACCTCCCCCTAAGGGGGCAGCAGCCTTACCAGACCACAAAAGATGACAATGCAGCCACTCCTGATGAGATCTGATATACTAAGTTCAGAAGGAAGGAGAGGAGGACCTCCCCTATCAGTGGACTTGGGGAGGGGCATTCATGAAGAAGGTTGAGAGAGGGTGGGATCAGGAGGGGAAGAGGGAGGGGCTTATGGGCGGATACAAAGTGAATAAAGTGTAATTAATTTAAAAAAAAAAAGAAAAAAAAGAATCTCAGGCCATGGAATTTAAAAGAACAATTACAAATACATTCAAATGAATCCAATGAGTTTATAGAGAATAAAAATGCACACATGAAAGAACTTGAAAAAAAAAGAATAAGTTACTGAATAAAGTGCAAACAAACAAACATATGGCAAAGTGGAATGATAATGACAATTTAGAATTTGAAAAACAAATTTAGCATATCAGGTCTCATCAGGACTGGCTGCATTTTCTTCCTCTGTGGCCTGGTAAGGATGCTTTCCCCTGGGCAGGGGGAATGATCAAAGAGCCAGCCACTGAATTCATGTCAGAAACAGTCCCTGTTTCACTTACTAGGAAACCCACTTGGAGAATGAGCTGCCTTGAGCTACATCTGTGCAGTGGTTCTAGGTTATCGCCATGTATGGTCCTTGGTTCGAGTATCAGTCATAGAAAAGACCCCTGGGCACAGATTATTTGGGTTCTGTTTCTCTCCTTGTGGATCTCTTATCTCCTCCAGGTCTTTCTATCTCCCTCTTCTCGGCTAGGGTCAGATGGAAGGGGAGGAGGACCTCCCCTATCAGGGGCATGGGAGGAGAAGAGGAAGGGATGGTGGGATTGGGAGGGTCTGAGGGAGGGAGCTATAGCTGGGAAACAAAGTGAATAAATTGTAATAAATAAAAAATAAACAAATAAAAAGGAAAAAATAGCAAAGAGAAATATTGAAAACAACTCAACTTGAAATTAAGATGGAATTGAAAAATTCAACATCCCAATTAGAAAACTCAGAAGAAAAACTCTACAAGTAGAATGGATTGAATAAAAGACAGAATATCAAAACTGATGATAAAGTAGATAAGTTTGACCACTCAACACATATAAAAATAAATACCCTCATATCCAAACACAAGAAAAATGCAGGAGCATTAGGATTTCATGAACAGCTCAAATGTGCAAAAACAGTCATACAGAAAGAATTCCTCTTCAATGACATGGAATAATCTTTCATGGATAACAGAAAAAAAATCCCCATATTAAAGAAAGGTACATCCATACAGATACAAGAAGTACATAGACCACAAAGTAAGAACAGGAAGTCTCCATGCCATTTAGTAGTTAAAATATATTAAAAAGCTACAAGAGAAAATGCACAGTTCACAAATAAGGACAGACCCATGCGAATAATATGTCTTCTCAATAGAAAATTTAAAATCTGGAAGGGAATGAAACAATGTACTTCAAACTCTAAAAGACACAGATGCTAACCTCGAATTCTTGGTCTACCAAAACTATCTATCATAAACGAAGGAACAGAGAACACTGTCATATAGAAAAGCTGAAAGAATTTATATTTGCCAAACCAGTCTGACAGATAATATAAGAAGAAATACTTTAGACTGAAGTGAGGAATGAACATGTCCACAAAGCTACAAAAAGAAAACAAATGAAGATATATAACTACTGAAGTACAAAATAGGACTAATAGCACAAACAGAAAAAAATGTTAATAATCCACTTCGATATTTCAATAAAACCTTTAAATAGTAACGCCCTTAACTCAAAATTAAAAGACATGGGTTAATAGATTTAAGAAGGAGATGGGAGGGGGGGAACCTTCGTTTTGTTGTTTACAGGAAACTCATCTTACCTTCAAGGACAGGCATTAATTTAGAGGGAAAGAAGGAGAAGAACATTTTTTAAATAGGACCTATAAGCAGGCAAGTGTCCCAATACTATCTGACAAAATAAGCCCCAGCCCAAAATTAATCAGAAAGAATAAAGAAGAAAATTTCACTCTGATTAAGGAAACAATTAACCAAGGAAACATTACAATAATAAGTATTTATACACCAAACTTTCATGTACCCAACTTTATAAACAATAAAACTTTATCTTCTAGAAATGTCATAAGCTAAAGCCATAAATTCTCACCAACCAACCTGAATTCTTAAACATGAACTAAACAAGGATGACACAAATAGAGATATCAAAGTGGAAAAAACATCCCCAAGGGCCTCAACCCTCTAAAAAGAAAATAGGCAACTAAGAAATGCTGAGAGTAGGAAAAATAGTATTTTGTAACAGAGAGCACACCATTACATTATCTAATACCAAATGGTCAGCCCTGAAAA